TATTCACATAGTAAGGAACCATGTTTATTAGGGGTAGATGGGGATGTTGATGGAGGTGCCCGGTTCTTAGTGTGCCTGAGGGTCTAGGTAAAAGGAAAGATGTGTATTTTCTCTGGCTTCCCTCCAGACAGTTGGAAGTGCCGATTGCCTTGGTCCTTCATTAAGGATCCCCTTACACAACAGTTTTTCAATACGTATCTACTGATCTGAAAAAGTCAACGTAGGTCCTCGAAGGGATTGGGAGGTTTGTTATCCTTCCTCAAAGGGTTGATGCCTTTCCAGCTTTACAAGCTGGAGAAGCTTTAGAAGCTCGGTCCCATTGATGATTTCTCCAATGGCAATATCACACTGTTGTCATGTGATGCTATATTCCAAGAACCAGGGGACACTAGGAAACTAGTGGTTTTTTTTTGTTTTTGTTTTTGTTTTTTTTTGTTTTTTTAAAGGGATTTTTCCATTCTCTGTGTTTGTGGGTAAATACTATACAGACTCATGCAGATGCACAGATAGTAAACCACAGGCTTGAGAGCCTTTAGAGAACTTTCCTACACCATAACCAGCCTCCCCAAACAGCTTCGAGAGCCTATCGAGGGGCCTACTTAAGAGTTTAGGTGATCTGAGATGTACAGTTTCAGGGAAAAAAAAACCCTGTGAAAGAATTACTTTAGAGTCACCAAGGAAACCATACCACCAAGACTTGAAATCTGGCCTCCCGTTCTTAGCTCCAGTCCAACTCATTGCTGTCAATAGGATTCCACTGTCTGAAGCCCTCTCAGGTGCAGTACCTCTTTATATCCTGCTAGGTGGCACCAGAAGGCTTCTAGAGGAAAGGGTTCCACATGGATCAGCCTGACTAGGTACTCAGCCTGGAGTGGTGGGAGAGCTACTGGGGAGATACTGTATGGCAGTGTAAGGAGTAGCTCAGAATCCCTCTAAATGCTGGCATTAGACTTTCGTTTGGGTTGCAATCTGGATTGACGTGGTGTGGAGTGGCCTTTCCCTAGGTGACAGTTAGGCTGTGCTAGAGTTGCGATGAAATTCTGGTACACTCCCCTCTGTGAAACCCTGCTTCTCCAGAAAATGTCATCTGGTTCTGGTCCCTGCCTGCACTCTGGTCTTACCTTGAGTCGTGATTCTCTGGTGAAGCACACACACAGCCTCTGTTTTCAGACTCTCAGGGTTAGAATGCCACCTGACCATGTGCTAACTGTGGGACTGTTGTATCTTTAGGTGACTTCTCTTTACCTCACCTCCTCCCTCTACTAGGTGGGGATGGATGACTGCAAATGGCATTCAGTTTCTTTACAGTGCCTCTCATGAAAAGGTACAGTGCATTTCCCCACATTCTTGAAACAGGGATGACTTTGTGACTTGCTTCCATGGGCTTGGTGGTCAGTAAATATATACGTTCTCAGCATAGATCACAGGAGGTCTTATGGCTTTCCTTTTTACAATTCTTCAGCCACATGACAAAGCCTAGCTGGCCCTTTTGAGGATTAGAAACCCTGCAGGAAGTGAGATCCCAGTCTGTCAGCTTGGGTCCCAGATACATGTGAGTTTCACTGACATCAAAGTAAGTGTGAGGTCAGTGCATCGAGCTTTGAGGTAGCCGTGGTACTGTTGAAGCTACTGGGCCAGGCTAGATAGGGTTGCTGTGGGGTTAGGTGGTGACACAGGCTTAGACTAGTGTCTAGCACACAGTAAACCCATCCAATAGTCATTAGGACAACATAATTCCAGGCCAGTTTCTTCTGATGTTTGAATCGTAGTCACACTGATCACTGTGTGATATTGTGCACATAGACATGAGAGGAGATTGGGTATTTACCTTCTACCACTCTTTGCCTTGAAACAGGCTCTCTCACCAAACCTACAACCTAGGTTTGCAACCACCAAATCCTCTCATTGTGCCCACCCCACCACTCTGTCATAATATTGGGGTTACAAGTGCATTTGGCTACACATAGACTTTTCTTGTTTGATGCAAACAGGACGAGGCTTTATTGTAGTTGTTTAATGAGCTAACCCCATGTTAGCTCGGACCTTTCACCTATCCACCATGGCGGATGGCTAGGAAAGACGAGGCGAAGCCACGGCATAGAGATCTTATAGGGCAGCGTAAGGGGAGTGTCTAGTGGTACGCACAGGCTCAGGATTGGTTACACACAGACTTTTTAAGGAGGTACTAGGGATTTAAACTCAGATTCCCATGTTTGCATTGTTGGAGATGACCAAGTTAGTCTAGGTTTTGGGTGTGTGCTAGGCTTACAGGAGAGACATAGTTGGGATAGAGTTCCTGAAAGTAAGTGTTGTATGTTCTGCTTCTGATTCTTACAGCCCATAGACATAGTTTGTGTTCTGCTCTCACACTGGGCTAAATATTCCTAATGCCCTGAGCCCTAGGAAGGTAGGTATGGAAGGAAGGTGAGGGCAGACATTAACTTCTTCACAGCCCACGTTGCACTTCAAATTAGGTGGGACTTACTGAGGTTTCTTGGATAGATAAATGAATGAATGAATGTTCAGGATCAGTAAAATGTATAGGAAGAATAATAAGAATTTCAGATTGGCCGAGAACTATGGAAAAAAAGCAAGTTTATTTTTCTTTGTTTCTAAAAAAAAATGATGACATGTTTCCAGTCAATCAGTAAAAAGATTATACACTTAATAACATGAACTCCACACAGTCACTAGCATTACATTATAGAGGGAATGCTAGAGCTGCCCTCTGAGTGAGGTGACACATCAGACAGTCACACAGCTGGTTTGGTTCACAGAGTGGCAAGAGTAAATGACCACTGTTGACCAGATGGCCCAGGCTCCCCAGCATGTGGGAAACTGTAAAAATGGGATCATCCCAGGCAAACTGAGATATGGTCGGTCAGGCAAGAAAAAAGAGGATCGTGAGAATGCTGCACAGACTGGATTTCGGTAAGGGGTGGGTATCACATTTTCTTTTAGCTTTCCTTCCCCCTCTTTTCCCTCTGAAGTGAGACTCCCTCTGCTACTAAGGACTGCCTTGGCTTTCTGAAAGCCTCATCAGTGTACTGCATGCAATTTGGACTTGATCTTTATGCCAGGAAGTAGAGCTGCTTAAACTTAATTTGCAAGCATGGTGACCTGCTTCAAGGTCCTTTAAAGACTACAGGGAAAAGCAAACACATAAACTCCAATCTACTGGAGTCAGTGCTGTTATTTTCTACTGGAATTTCTGACTATTGGCAGTAGACAGGAGTCTCAAAGGGAAAGGGGGCTGAGATCCAAGTTTTGATAAATCTCTTTACTTGGACCAGTCCATGTCTGCTTATCCATCACTCATCCCCTACCTCCTGTATGGCCACATCAACTTTTCTGCAGGATAATTAAGTCCCCACCTTCTGGCTCATGTTGGCATCATTCATTACATGGCGGAGCTTTGGGATGATGCGCCAAATGGCTTCTCCAGTCTTTGTTTTCCACAAGAATGAACAGAGAGTTGGTTTACCCTGCCATTTGCCATATTGATTGTTGATCTCTTTCTTAGTATAATTGCTGAGGAATTAAGTGACAGGGCAACTCATGGCTGGTGGTGATGACTTGGGCACAAAGGTTACCGTTTGCCCTTCCTCGGACTTCTTTGCCTAATATGTAGGCACTGCCATAAGAGATGAGGGCAAAGAACACTCCTTGAGTTAACTTTGAAGACTTGGAATAGGCCATTGCTGGCCATAGCAGACCTAGTTTATCTTGACAGTCTTTGAGGACTGTCTTCCAGCCTTTTATGGAAATCTTTTGAGGGTTTTTTTTTTTTTTTCATTTTTAGCATCTACAACTTCTAGGGATACAAAGAACATGTAATTCTTTTCCCATGATTGCTTAATTTAGCTGAATCATGGACCAACAATGGCCATGGTGTTCTGGCATAAGCTGCTTAGTGTAGGTTTTAAACTTGGAGATACCACTCTCTATTCATAGTTGCTCTGTCATATGGGCCTCTTCTTGAGGGAAGCTATACTGAGATCTTATCCCTGATTCTTCCCATTGTTACAAGTTGAATGAGGATGGGCAGATTTATTTCCAAACAAATATGTAGTTTGATGAGGAGAATGCTATGTCCTTTTGGAATATTCCTCAGATGGTGGGACATATGGTCCATTAGTGGAAAACCTTTAGTATGTGTGTTCTTCCTGCCTCTTGTAAGAGTCATAACTCCACAGCCCTTGGTAGTATCTGTTGTACTGTATGTAAATCCCATTTAATCTCAGTCCCATCTTCAGATGTAGTTTTCTTGGGCTTAGAGTAGTGGTTCTCAACTTGAGTCACAACCGCTTTGGGGGTCGTATATTAGATATCTTGCATATCCCAAATTTACAAGTCATAACATAGTGAAATCACAGTTATGAAGTAGCAATGAAATAATTTTACAGTTGAGGAGCTATGTTATTAAAGGGTTGCAGCACTAGGATGGTTGAAAATCACTGGCTTAGAGGAACAAGGCAGTCCCAACTCTGTTCATGGAAGGGATGTCATCCCTGACTTGGTATCAAATGATCTTGAGATGAAGGTGTTGTGTGTGCAGGTCTCTTCTGAAACTTGAACTCTTGGGTGAGGTGAGGTGATGGCTTGACAAGCCTAGTAACTTCCATATTCTTATACATTTCAAAGATTTATAATACTGGTTGAAGTCTTGGATACTTACTGCCTGGTTGCATTGGGGTCATAGGCTTTACTCATTTAGAAGCGCATAACGATGTGCTTAGGCTAAAACTTTGAAACACAATGCAACAAAATCATAACATCTGGATCCAGTCTACTGTTTTCAAGATGTTTTGCCTGGAAGCAGAAGAAAGCCAGATAGTTAGTTTTGCTCAGCCCCTTTGGGGCCAGCATTTCCTGAAGGAAGTCAACCCTGGTGAGGAGAATTGATAAAACTGACAGTCATTCCTATACAGAGAGGACAGGGTCTGGGTCCCTTGACAGTGTTGGTCAAGTGGTCTCTTCTGAGTTTTTCTGTAGCCCCATCATATGGTCAGTGAACTCTGAGACCGGCGATGGCTGCCTTTGCTTGAGTGTCGTGACACATCCTTCTGTCCCCTGGTATAGGCTGTGGGTGCCATTGTCCTGTTTGGGCCCAGAAGGCATTCCCCAGATGAGAGTTTAGCCAAGGTGTCCCCTAAACACGGGTCATCCCTCGAGAGCTCTCTGCTGCATCTGGGACTCTGAAGAACCCAGTCTTCAGCATGCTTCTTTCTGGGAGGGCTAGAGTTCTTTGGGGTGCTGGTTCCTAAGTCCTGCTGTCATGTAGGTGGTACTATATGGCATGGGGGCTGAGCATGGGAAGGGCCAGAAGCAGGAACAGATGCAGAAGCAGAGGCAGAAGCAGAGGCAGGGGCAGGTCTCTGTTTGCTTCTCCAGTTCTGGATTTCGAGGTTTCTTTTGTCTGTGGGCAGCTTGTCAATTTTCTGAGCTTTTGAGATTAGAGACTTCCCGTAGGTCCCTTGTAGAGACAGGAGAAAGTACCTAGTAGGAAATCAAAGAATCAAGGTAGTTTTTACATTGTTGACGATGTCTGAACATTTCACTATTAAAAGAGCTCTTAGACCCTAACTTTTCTCGCATGCCATTGCACTCTAAATGACAACTCTCAAAGCTAAGGGTGGCTGCCTCTGGAGATGGAGGAAGCATGATAACACCGAAAAAAATACAACAACAGTTAATGCTTATTCTGTACCAGGACTGTATAAAGAGGTTTGCTGATTACTGACTCAATCTCTCAAAAACCCATGTGCTTGGCACAGTAAAGGACCATGAAGTGGTCTTTGACCTGGGACAGTCACTTGGAGACATTGCCAACTTATATGAGTGTACATTGTTATGTTTGTACTATGATGAGATTGCCTGATGCTGTGTTTCTCATGTCTTAGTGTGTCTACATAATGCATACTTATCCTTTTGTTTCCTTTTGTGTACAGATGTGAAAATTAATCCAATGTCAAACCATGGTCAAACCCAAGTGCTCTAGATGTATAAGCTAGTCTTTTACTTACTATCCATCAGTGTTTTTATTTTTTTTGTGGAACTTTATATAATTATTATTTGCCCAGTGAGGAAGCTGACATCCCCAGGTGAGGTCTGTTGTGTGGTGTGATTTTGTGTTGTTCCTCGGCCCTCCTATCACCAGGATATCCTTTCACTGCAAAAACTCTTACACTGGGTGCTGCTTGCTAAGTTTCAGGAGATCCTTGCTAAGGTCTCCTGAAAAGGTCTGAGATCTCAGGAGGTCATGCTGACTTGCCATTTTCCTGCCAAGCTGCATGTAGTTTATGGGAGACTGTAAATTCATCTTCTGGATCCAAATTTAGGCCAGAGGAAGGGTGAGAAGGTTAAGTATATGTTATCTTATATCATAGACCACCCACATTCCCTTTTCTGAGTGTTATCTAAAAAGCAATCCATCTGGCCTGGAGGACATTTACAATGTTAATTTTAAAGCCTTGTAAGCAGGGAGGCTTATTTTTATTGAATTTGAAAGTTGCATGGTGAACCCACAGGGACCAAGGGTTTTCTGAAGACTGTAGTAGATCCCATCAGTATAGATAAAATTTCCCTTATTTTTATACCACTAGTGAGTAAATAGGGAACCATGTATGTGCTTCAGGAAAGATTGGACTTCTCATTTGGAAACTGAAATTTTCTTAGTCCAAATCTTTCACCCAGGACACTGCTTTTCTCCTCCATCCTCCATTCAACAAATATGCGTCAAGTGCCCACAACAGGCAGGTCCTACAGGATTAAGCTTTGAACAAGAGAGAAATCTTACTGTCTTGTTGCACAAGAGCTCACTTACTGATGGAGAGAAGATTAAATCCGAAGACCATCCTTGAAGAAGCAGCACTTAGGCTGAAGGCTGAGGCTTTCCATAGTCAGATACAGGAATGAGAAATAAAACCCAGGCAAATTAGCTGAGGTATGAAAGTAAGGGACAGATGGAGAAGGAAGGACTAGAGCAGGCAAGGACTGCAGGTCATGGTTTGGATCTCCTATTTTATTGTGAAGACCCAGGGAAGTCTTTGGTCACTGACAAATGGATGGCTAGGCTGGACTTTGATATATTAATAATGGATAGTGGGAAAAGTCCTAATTGGAGACAAATTATTCAATTTGGGGTATCAGGGGAGTAGCCTGTTTATGATGGCAGCTGTAGAAATGAAAATTGTGTATGTACCCAAGAAGTATACCACAGGTAGAGGTGTTAACTTGTTGCTGTGAAAACTCTGAATATGCAGCCACAGGTGATGGCAAGGATAATGGGCAGGGGCTGATCTGGGTCCTGGCATTAGCTGAAGGGAACTGTGAAGAGACTGGGATTTGGTAGGGGGCAAACATTGACTAAAGTTTAGATGCTCTCTGCTTTTCTTAGACTAAATTTGCCAACTACAGTTGATGACTAAGCTAGAGAAATGCAGCGGGAATCAAGGAGAGACCTGTGCTGGGAAGCATCTGCTAAGAACTTTCTTTCAATTCAGAACAATGATTACTGGGTCTGTGGAGAAAATATAAAGTTAGGAGACCAGCAAACATGGGATAAAGGCTTGGTGTTCACTCTAATTAGGGTGTGTGTCACAAAGGAAAGAAAGAGAAGTGGGAAGAGAATCTAAGAATGAATAAGTCATAAAAGTCAGCCAGTTGAAGGGAATTTGTCCTGGATACTGGGTGAATTAACTAGACTAAGATTAGTTGTCTACTTATCACAAGATAAGATCAATGCCCATTGTGAGAAATGTGACTTTCAACTTTAAGCCAGGAACAGTTTTCTATAGCAAACATTCTATCATGTGATTCTATCATGTGGATTTCTATAAACAAACAAGAATTATGCCAAGGTAGTAAGTCAGGAATCCTTACAACTATTAAAATAATCCCTTCATTATCAGAAGAAATCCCTTTGACCTTAGTAAATAGAATTAAATGGGAATTCAACTTTGTGGTGATAATATAGAATAAGCAACGATTTGGCCTGTATACCATGGTCACCAGCAATTAAATATTTGCTAACATTTCCTCAATGCATTCCTCATCTGTTCAGCAAGCCATCAAGTTGATGCCCATCTGCTCATTCCACATGTGTCAATAGTCCTTGCACGTGTTTCAAGGGCCTTTGTTAAGCTGCTGCTGTAGCCTTGTAAGACACTGGCTCCAAGCATTTTTTCTAACAAAGAACACTGGGCTTATGAATTTATTTCTAGTCTCCAAATAATATGTAGAATAGAGAAGCTCACTCTGGTCATGATGACCACAATTGCTTAACTTCAAAATCAGAAGACAAAGCAAATCAAAACCAAACAAATAAAAACCCACCTATGGGGCTGGAGAGGCAGCTAAGTGGTTAAAAGTATGGAGTGCTCTATGCTTTTCTAGAGGACCTGATTTTAGTTCCTAGCACCCATATCAGGTGGTTCACAAAACATCTCTACCTCCAGTAGGCATCTGACATCTCTTCTGGCCTCCACAATCACCTGCACACATGCGTACTGGCGCACACACACGCACACGAGCACACACACACACACGCATACACACACACACCAAACAATAAACTACTGACATTTCTGATGGAATTTTCCAACAAAGGCATGCTCCTCCCATCCTTCTCAGGGTTTTTATCCCCAAGGTTGCATTGAAGAAGGGCTGGGTAGGTATTGCATTATTGAGGCTCAGACTTATTCTTAATTTTTGCTTACTCTATGCTCTGAGGATCCTGTATGGGTCAGCCACTTTCACCTGTTTGATAGATGTATGTGCAATGCCTCTGCTGGGTGATGACTTTCGAGAAGCTAGGGTCTGTCCTATCTATCTTTCTGATTGTCCAGTATCCGTTGCTCCTTCATCTCAGAGCACAGATTATGTGACAAGAATGGCTAGGTGATGGCTGAATAAAGACAAAAAGTTCTCTCTGGACTCTGCCTCAGAAGACATGAACATAATTTGAATGATGGGAAAACTGGCAGCAACAGATATACACACAGATGATGGGAACATCAGAGATTTGCTATGCTCTAAGGAAGGTAGGAGATGACATAGAACTTCTGAAAATGGTCATGCCATCATGAGGTCAAAGGGTAAAGGGCTTTGGTAGAGGAAGGAGCATTTCAAATAGACACAGCAGCATAGAAGTGAGAGGATCTGGGACCATAGTGTGTTTAAGCAGTTTGGTGGTATTTATCTTTAAATTGGAAGCACACTGTGGAGATGGGGATTTTAGAGTTGTAGGAGTCAAGGTGGGAGGCCCTGCACACAGTAAATATTCAGAACTCAATTCAAGTCTATGACATTTACTAACCTCTGTACTACTTGTTATAGTAGCATTTTCAGACTCCAATTCTGTATCTGAAGTCAAGATTCTGAGATGCCTTAGGCAGATGAAGCAAGGTTGCTCATGGCTCTCTGCCTACTCTAGGGCAGAAACAGGTCTACACAATGTTGTCATTGTCTATTTACTAGCCTGTAATGACAACTGGCCCAATTCTGTATTTCTCCTTCCTACATTTTACCTACAAAGACATTATTGTCAACTTTAGCCATTTTTCTGACTGGAGTGTGGGGTCAGAAAGTGGAAACCTGGACTTTTCAGTCAGAATCTTGCCCTGGCTGTGGTTTATACTGGCAATGTGGACCCATCTGGGTACTTAGGCCTTAAACTGTTTCATGGGCTAGATTCTTAGCTCTGCTTACTACTTGGCTAATAGAAAAAAGGAGCATTGAGGCTAACAATGTGTATCAATCATGAGCTTCATAGAGAAGCATTATTTAAAAAACTTTTTTAAAAAAAAATTTAGAAGCACTCTTCCTAACCCACCCCTCAGCCCCTCCCCAGGGATAGTGAGGCCCTCCACAGGGGACCATCAAAGTCTGAGAAGCACTATTGTTGCTGGTATTTTCCTTGAAAATGTCAAAGCAGTGGTTTTTAGGATGGAAGTGTCAGAAAATAAATAGAATGTGATCATGAATGATTTATCCGGGTAACAGAGCCTTTTAAAAAATGTTACACATGTTTTTAAACTTAAGTGATATTAAAATGTTGGCTATTTTATGAACAATTTAAAATGTTGGAGAGAAATCTTAAGTCTTTCTTCACAGTTCTTTCCTGTGATGACAGGAAGTTCTTGGTCCCCATGTGTGTACTTGGTGTGGCTTGCTGGGACTGCTCCTTCTCCTATAGGCACTGGGGTGTGAGACTCCCTGACTGATAGAAAAGGACAACAGAAAAGGACAACAGAGTTTTAAAAACAGGTTCCCTTACCACACATCAAAATTTATAAGCCAGGGATGTTAAAGATTACTCCCATAATACATATATCACAATGGGGGTCATTTTGCTTCTCTATGTCTGACCTGGGACCCGAGTCTATGTTATTTATCCCCTGTCTTATTGTTCTTTTATCCCAGCATATCATGTCTGGACAACAATCTCAAGGCTCTGGTCAACTTGACTGATTTATGAAAACACACCTCTGGGTGTATCTGTGTGGATGGGTGCGTCTAGGAAGCTTTAGCAGAGGAAGGAAGAGTCAGCTTGAATGTGGGCTGGGGTCCTGGGTTATGCAGAGAAAGTGATGTGAGCTGGGCACCCTCATTCACATCTCTCTGCTTTCTGATCATGACAGACTTTACCTTCAAACCATGAGCCAAAACCAATCCCTCCTTCCTTAAGTTGATTTTTTCACACGTCATCTCACAGCAGTGAGAAATGTAACTAATACCCTTGGGCCATGGGGACTTAGGAGAGACTGTCAATTTTCTAGGGCATTGCTCAAGAGTTCATACCTTGGTAGAAGAGCCACGACTGGTGTAAGGAGGCAGGTGAGGTAGAATGTGGGATCTGAGAGCTGCCTCTCCATCACCCAGTAGGGATTGGTGGGGCTGTTGCAAGTGACACAAGTGGCATTGTAGATTAGGGAAACCACAAAATACATCAAGAAGCTGCCGAGGAGGACAAGGCCATGGAGGACAGTCTGTGGAGGGGACAAAGAAGATGATGTTGGTTCTGATTAGATTATGGGGCAGCAAAACACACATAGCTTAATTAATCTTTGCTTTAAACCTTTTTGAAGACACACACACATTATCAAGCACTCACAAAACAGTTTAATGGATCAAAAATCCATATTGTTCTACCTAGCTGTGTTATGAAAACCAACTCAGCTTTTAGAGTTTTGTTTAAAAAATGTAATGGTTAAGAGCATCCTAGACAGTAGAATTTATTTGAGGGGAATATTTCAAGCATACTAAACCTTATAGATAAAATTAAAGTAACTATATATTGCTTGTAAATGGCCTGCCTAGCTACTTTTAGGCAAGTTCTGTACATTTTATATACCTACATTTATGAATGCATTCTTACTTTATCATTGCATGTATCCCTTTTGCTTATGGATTGGATGTTTGTAACTATTCCCAAATCTATATGTTGTAACTCTCAATTGATAGTATTTGAAAATGGAGCGTTGGGGAGGGAATTTTAGGAGCTCCCCATGAATGCACCTTTTGACCTCATAAGAGACCCTAAAGAAAAGATACCTTTCTTTTCCTTCCAGAGATGTGCAATAAAAGGCATCTTTCTACTTGTGTGTCATTCTAGATGAATTTCTAATCCTACTTCCCAATTTGGCAGCTTGCCTTCCTTCCTTCCTTCTCTGTCTGATCTAGAATGAATTACACAGATTGTACTTTTGATTTCAATAATAATTTTTCATTTGGGTGAGTTCTAAAAGTTTCCCAGGTGCAAGGGTGAACTTTGGTTGGAACTAAAAAAAAAAAAAAGTTTCTCAAGCTGGCCTCACTTCAAAGTTATGTCTTTGACTCTTACATCCCTCACTCACTGTTCTTGATACAACTGTACCCCAGGAGCTTATCAATAACATATTTTTCCATAGTTTGTTTCGTAGAGTAGAGACAATTGGACCAACAATAAATGGCGCTCTAGACTCCCCTACTATACAGGAGCCAGACTCCCCACTGGCATATCTGTGTCTGGCTCCTAGAAAGCATGCTGTACCTCCTCACCATTGTGTCATAGTCTTTTTTGGTATTGACGGTCTACAAAGAACATGAACTTAGGACAAAAGAGGCATAGCCAGGCTTATCACTTTGTTCTGTTGTCACTGGCACACTTTGGAGAACAAGATTTCTATGATGAGACCTCTCTGACACAGAGGCTCTCTTGGTGCCTCTTATTGGCCTCTTACTAAGCTTGTGATGGCAGAAGGGGGTGAAGAGGAAAGTTTCATTATAGAATGAAGGCATGTGTTGAACCTGCTTGGAGGTATTTTCATTTTCAAAGTTTTAGTCCATGTGCTTTCTTTCAGAAACAGTCATTTAAACTCGACTATGGGAAGACCTTTCTGCACTGTGATCTCCATGTACCAGTAAATCTTATGTCTTTGTGTTGTTAGCAAAATGGTTAAAAAGCACAAGGACCATATGACAGGGCTCAATACTCACTTCTAGTTTGAGCTGCTTGGGGCAGGTTTCTTAATCTTGTTACATCTGTTTCTAAATCTGTAAAATGGGATAATTAAAAAAAAATCTAACACCAAGGACATAGTGAAGTTAGATGAGGTAATGTATGTAAATCATGTAGATCAATACTTGGCATATAACTTTGTACTCTTTAGAGTTATTGATTAGTGAAACTCAGTGAGAGAGCTTGTTCTTTCTCTGTACATGTATGTGTGGGTGGGTGTGGATGCGGCTAGAGGTGGATTTTTGATATCTGTTTTTCTCAAACTCCATCTTATTTTTGGGGACAGGGTCTCTCACTGAACATGGGGCTGGCTGATTCAGCTGGATTGGTTAGCCAACCATTTCCAGGGGTCCTCCTATCCCCACGTTCCTGGCACTGGGTACACATCACCATATCTGGATTTTTTTTTTTTGTGGATATCAAACTTAAGTCCTCACCTTATTGATTAAGCCACCTCCTTAGTCTGCTTTTTATGATGTAAGATCCCAAAAATATGTTATTTGGGAAGGCTTGATATGCAGTAACTAAGTTAAATGGGTCGTAGCCCTGTGTATACAGCTTCAGCTGTACTCAGGCCAGCCTTTCCTATCTCTGCAGCGCTCCTGAATTTTTCATCAATATAAATCTGATGAAACTGTCTCATTGCTTTATGGGTGTTAGTGTTGTCATCATGTCTGGATGCTGAGGTCAGCGATGCTAGCATCTTTGCCAATCCCATTGCTTTATAGGGGCACAGTGAGAGACTCATGAATTTCCTGAGATAGATGAACTGTATAGAGTAAAAGAACTCAGAAATTTGAGTTCAGTCAATGAACAAGAATACGATTTTTAAGCTAAATGGTCTGTGGGATCCTTACCCATGTCTTCATTTCCATTGCCTGGTGCAAGAGGATGGTAGTGAGGGAGATGGTGTTGATTGGCGTTCCAAAGGTAAAGACATCTATATCTGAACCTCTGTAGGTCTAAGGAGTAAGAACAAACCAGGCACTGTCAAGTGGGCATACCTGCGCATGCACAGATTTAAGGCTATGTGTTCAATACAGTAAAGCCAGGAGTCAAGGGAGGGGCAGGAATATGGTGAAAAGAAAGGAGAAGAGAAGGGATTGGTTCAAGGAACTGACAAGATGAGAAATGAGTGGATGGGATTAAATTGTTTAGGAACATGTTTTCTCTAGTGAAGGCTGGAAAAACCACCATGGAAATGGTGGACAAAGGCTTTCTTGAGCATTCACAGGCACTGCACTGATTGCTGAGGGTGTATGCATGTCTCCATTTAAGGAGTTGGTGATCTATTAGGCAGGTTAGATGTTGATACACTTCAGTCCTTCTAGCACTCACTCTCTTAGATACCCTGGGAGCACAGAAGAGGCTTTATTAGCTGAGACCAGATTATGATAAAGGAAACTGTAATCCAGGCAGAGGTAAAGTCTAGGAGCAGACAGTGTGATGGTTGGGTTTTATCAACTTGATATGAACTTAGACATCTGGGAAGAGGGACTCTTACTTGAGAAAATGCCTTCATCAGATTGTCCTGTAGGCAAGTCTGTGGGGGCATTGTCTTGACTAATGATTGATGTGGGAGGTAGTCCTGGTTGCTGGAAGAAAGGAGGCTGCCAGGTGGTGGTGGCACACAACTTTAATCCCAGAACTCAGGAGGCAGATGGATCTCTAAGTTCAAGTCTAACCTACAGAGTGAGTTCTAAGATAGCCAAGGTTACATAGAGAAACCCTATCTAGAAAAGCCAGAAAGAATCAAGCAAACAAACATGCAAGCAATGAGGAGCAAGGCAGTGAGCAGAATTCCTCCATGGCTTGTGTTTTGGTTACCTGCCTTCAGGTTTCAGACATAAGTTCCTGGCTGACTTCCCTCAGAGATGGTCTGTGATGTAAAACCATAAGCTGAAAGAACCCTTTTCTCTCCAAGTTAATTTTGGTTAGGATATTTTGTCACAGCAATAGAAACCCTAACTAAAACAAATGTTCTCAGCTCTGGGGCAAGAACTATAGAAAATCATAAGTCCTGCCCAAAGATGCCCCCACCCCGTGGAAGGCTGGGCCAAATCCTTTGTAGCACTTCAGAAGAAAGAATTGCAGACATGATATAATTTAAAGGTGATAGCAAACAACATATAACATGTGCAGTGAAGGGGCCTATGGTAAGATGCAAAAGCAGAGGAAGTCAGAAAACATGATCTCTGACAATACAATCCTTATCTAAGTGGGCCATGAACCAACTCTGTATTGCTTTCCCCTGAGGGGAAATAACCAAGTGTAATGACAGCTTTTGATTTCTCAAGAGTACCAGAAATGAAGTTTTGCAGAAAGTTTTCTATCTTCTCAAATACCTTGAGTGTACCCAGCTACTCATTTGGAGTCTCTGCCATGATGCATGTATAAAGGTACTGTTAGTCTGTGATTGTGTATAACTAAGACCCATTCCACACTGTGACTTACGTGTCTAGGATGGAACTATATGACTTACCAGGTAAGGGATAAAGAAACAGATGAGACTCTGGTAGAATGCATCAGCCATGGAAATCCAGAACATTGGCAGATTGTAGCACTGCAGGCAAGAACACACCAGTTACTCAGTATCCTGGCAGGCCTCTGGTCTTTGCAAGCATCTTCCTTGTGTGTGGCTGAGCTTAACAATATGATACTTTGCATACCTGTCATCTTAGCTCTGCTACTCAAACATGTTACTTGGTAGAATTTATGAACCTTTTTCTGAGAACTGGATTCTTTTCCCAGAAAATTTGGAGTTTAAGGGAACTAAATGCAACTGTGCCTTGGTATCTAGGAAGTGCTGTCAATGCCACTCATTAGCTCTGTCACTAGGACTGCTATTCTGAAGTTGCTAAGTGCTGTCTGAGGTGGAGAGCTCATTCATAGACCAGGATCAATGTTTCCAAGAGTCAGAGATCCACTGCTTTAGAGATAAGGTTTCTCATCTTATGCTTCACTCTTCTCCCTTTTTGAGAAAAAGGAAACATGATTTATTGTTTTTTTTTAATGGTAGATACTCAAGGACTATGTTGTGTGGCCAAGCCTGCCTGTGGGGAGGGTAAAGTTAGAAGAGCCTGAGACTGGCTGTTCCTCCTCCCTGTCTTCTTTATCTTGACTTCTTGGGCTACTGCATTGCTTTTTCTTCTGTCTTTGGTTAGAACTTGGTTTGATTTGATTCTTTGGCTGTCCACAAAGGGGGAAATGGCTCTTTAAAACACCATCTATGGCTTTGGCCTTGTTCATTCAAGGTGCCAAGGTACATACTGTCCTCTCAGGTGTTTTACAGCTCTTCCCTTACAACTCCATTGGAAGCATCCAGTGTTGCTCTCATCTCTTTGTCTAGCCTCCTTGTCTGTACCTTGGCTAGTCCCACCACTTGGATTAGTTCTTCAGGTCATTCAGAGCTTCAATATGGCCTTTATAGAAACCCACATGATGACCTCCCAAGCTTTCTTAAGTTTACTTGGGGTAGCGCTAGACTATGTAATGTAGATGTCTAGTTCTGCCTTCCTTACAGTGAAATAGAATCATTCACTGCGTGCCTTACCAAGGATGAGAAAACTAGTTTTAGTCATAGGAATCTCCGTTTTAGTGTGTCCCCAAGGGCTCCTATGTTGAAAGCTTGGTCCTCAGTGGGGTGATGTTTACAAAGTGGTGGTGAGGTCCCTGAAGGAGGGTACTTTTCTGAATGGGATTAATGCTGGTTTCAGAATGAGTTAGTTCCTATGAGAATGGCTTGTTAGAAGGATCTCACAAGCTTCCTGTCAAACCACTTGATCTCCCCTTCTCATGTGTATTGGCATTCTGATGAATTTCCACGTTGTGATGGCCCTGAGGACTGAGCAGACAGAGCTACATCATCTCAGACTTGTAGCATCAAAACTATAAGCTAAATAAAATATTTTGTGGTATTACCCAGTCCTTGGTGTTTTGTTGGAGAAACGGAAAATGTGCTTTTAGCTGGGTTTTAGGGGGGTTTAATTGCTGTACTTCACAGCCTGGATCTTACCATGTGTACTCCCTGCTTCAGCTACAGCAATTGACATGTGATATAATTAAAGTGTTGTTAAAATATACTTACTGGTCTTATCTAACATTCTTAGCAGCAAGTGTGAAACAGGCCAGCCAGAGTCACCCAAAGGTCACAAGGAGGTAAGTGAGAGAACTGTGCCTAGAATGTAGAGTTCCCAACTCCCAGCCTGATTCTCTCTCTCTGTGTGATCTTCAGGGAACATCTAAAGTTCCCCTCATGTCTTCTGCATGCCTCACCTCGGAGTTCTGGCCGCTCTTGTATAGCTCAGGCAATGCTAGTAGTGTTTCTGCAGAGACATCTTTATCGAGGATTCCGAAGATGATGGGAGGCAGGGAGGTGAAGAAGATATTGAAGAATATCATCTGCCAATAGTCAATCATGGTGGAGCCAGAGAAACCACAGAAGAACTGGTACCAAAACAGCAGGTTGACGTAGCACTGTAGGCAGGGAGCATCCTTCGTGAGTGAGGTCCCTGCATATAGTATGCTGGACTATATTGGCTAAGAGCACAGGTTTGGGAGGTAGAGAGGTCTGATTTTACATCCCCAGGTGTATCAGTTACTAGCTCTCTGACCTTGGGCAGACTACATCATCTTTCTGAACATCGTTTTGTCATCTTTCATGGCACACAATATACAAATAGTATCCCAGTGGAAATAGAAAGTGGGGATGGGATGATAGAAAACTGAGCTGTGGAGTCCCAGGTAAGATGGTAGACTACAGGTTGCTTCTGTGAAGGGAAGAGCAAAAGGAAGAATAAAGAAATGCAATCCTAGTGTAAAGAGAAATAGAGGAAAGGTTTAGGAAAACTATGGAGGAAGTGAAAGGAACAAGGATGTTCCTTTCCTTGGGACACAAGGGGAAGCAGGTGACACAGTGCCTGGTGGAGAGAGGAGGGAGACTCAGAAGATAGATGAAATCTCAGTGTTGTCCCCCCAGGACAAGCCCACAACATTCATGAGAGTCAAACCCAGTTTTAGCGAGACAGCTGCAGATGCGTCAGTTGTGGAGACAAACCTCATTTTGCCACACTGTAGGGCAGCAGCTGAATGTCATATTGAGAGTGAATTTAGTGCTAAAGACTGAGCCATCCTTGGGGCCCTGAGTTTAAGGAACACCCACAGAGCTTCAATTTGGCTTGCCATAGGGTTTAGGTGAAAGAAGGCTCATATGCTGAGCTGGGGGCTGGCAAGTAAGTGAAGAGAGGGAAAGTCTCATCTACCCAGAATTATTCTTAGGTGTGATGAGTGCTGAGTCCAATGCCAGGAGTTAGATCAAATTCTGAAGCCACCTGATTTGAAGAGCCCCAAACTTCAAAGCTCCAAAAATACTAAAGAAGGTCCTGTGTTCTGATTGCTTCTCAATAAATTTGGGAGACCCACCCCTTCCCCAGCTAAATCAGCCACCTTAGATGGTACCTAGCCCATGTCAGGCAAACCTAAATGTGGCCAGCAGGGCCCCTCATGTGAAGAAAGGAGAAGGCCCATTCTGAGAAAGCTATGGGGACAACAGACATTTGTCCAACATAGATTCAGAAACCACATAAACCATGGGATAGGTGAGAGGTCACAGTTCAACTGGCCTCCCCCCTTCACACACACTTCAGTTCCCAGTTTGAGGGGCCAGAAAGGAGCTACCCCAATACTCATCCCTTTTGCTTTTTACATATTTAGCATAGTTTTCTTACTATATTGTATTAATTTAAACCCATCTAATTTTTATTTATGCCTTTTTCTATTTTTTCCTTTCTGTTTCCTTCCTTCCCATTCCTCTACACTGAGTAGTATTTTGACTTTACCTTATTTGCCTTTAAAAGGTAATGGTTTCAAGTTTCTTTTCATTCTCCTTACACTGGTCTAATTTTGAACTTTTTCACTATTGTGAGAACTCTTCAAATGTTCTTTTATTTTGCTTCACAACTCTTGTTCTTTTCCATCTCCTTCCTTTATCATATTCATTACTGTTTTCATACTTACCCTGAATAATTTTTAACTCCATGGCTTATGCTACTATAATTTTTCATTTTCAAATCTGTGGTCACTGATGGGCTGTAACTGATTTTTTATTTTATTCCTCTCTCATAGGTTACATCCTTACCACAGTTTCCTGTTCCTCCCCCACCTCCCTACTCCTCTTCCATTTCCCTTTAAATAAAAAAAGAGCAGGCTTCCCAAGCATATCTATTGAACATGGCTAACAAGTTACAATAAGACTAGGCACAAAACCCTCATATCAAGGCTGGACAAGGTAACCCAGTAGGAGGAAAAGGGTCCCAAGAAGTCAGAGAGAGACACCTCCACTCCCAGAGCTGTAACTGATTTAAGTATGTTTTTAGATACTGCATGGTGAGATACTGTTGCTGCTACACTAGTTTTATTCAGACTGAGTATGAAGGTTATCCAACCCAAGTGCAAAGAGATATACACAAATTGCTAGACAGAAATTCAACAAACACCACAACATGACTCTTCCATAATAACACAATCCCTCAACTATGGAACTCAAAGACACTCAATTCCATAAAGGGTAGGAAGAAGGTTTTAAAAACTTTGAAAGAGTATATACACAGGCAGCTAAATTCAACTGGAACTCAAGAGGAAAGTCACAACACAGAAGGAAGATTAAGAAAATTAAGATTTGGAGGAAAAAAGAAAGACATATTGGAAGTGAAAACTCAATGAACCTAGTTGAAAACCTGGTAGAAAGCAATGCCCCATGGCTCAACTGAGCAGAAAAAAGAACTGTCAGGGATGGAGGGCACTTATGATGAAATCCTGCATTCAAATATCAATAAGGGAAAAAGCAAAAGAGTATGACCACGACTTTCTTGAACTGTGGGGGTGTTATCAAGATACCAAACCTAAGAGCACGTGGGAAAGAAATAGGAACTGAGATAAAGACATAATCTAGTCAATGAAAATTCTAGCAGAAAAAAATCTCCAAATCCAAATGACCAGAGGAACATGACGTAGTAAACATGTTAAAAATACAAAGTGATAAAACAATATTAGAAGCTTTGAGGGAGGGTTCAATGGTAAAGTATGTGTACCACTAGCAGTAAGATGTTTGCACTGCTTTTGAGAGGACCTGTGTTTAGTTCTGAGCTCATAACTAACTGGCTGTTACTCCAGCTCCACGGGATCTGATGTCCTTTATGATCTCTGCAGGCACTACACTCTCATGCAGAAGTCACATACTCATTCGTAACTGCAAACTAAAATTTCTAATAAAATCTTAAAAGTTTTTCTTAAGAGAAAAATGTCAACTCACAGAGGCAGAAACACCCGAGTATCATCAGATCTCTAACCTGAAACCCTCAAAACCAGGAAATTATGGAATGATCTGCCTTAATCCCTGAGAGTAAATGGCTGGCAACTGAGAGTGCTGGACCTAGCACTTTTAAATTTGACAGAAATAAAGACAAATGTCACATTCTCAACTGTGGTTCCTCTCTTCAAATCTTCAGATGGGGATATATAACCAGAGTACAGGAAGTCAGCCAGTAAAAAAGGATGAGAGAGATAGGGTGCTCGAGAGGGGATGCTAATCCAAAAGACATGAATGGGTTAATTCGGAAGTCAATGCAGAAGGAACTTCAGAAGGAAAGAGTAACAAGTAACACTAAGAATGTTTTAAAAAGTCTTAAGCATTTAATCACACATGCAAACACACACTTTAAATGAAGTGATACCGTGGGCTGACAATGCATCCCACACCAGCCATAGGCCAACTAACAAAAGTCCCAGCGCTGGGTATGAGGAACCTCTTCTTGACTACTTGATCATGACCATACAAGACACTCCCCAAACAGTAGGCTATTGCTATTGCTCTTGGTTGCCTCCTACAGGCTGAAGATACAATGTACTTGGGGCATACAACTCACAAGATTCAAGCTGGGTCTGTTCTGAAAGTCTGCTCCTTTAGGATTAACTTTCATAGTATTAGCCAGTGTAGTCTTGCCATTTGCTTTTGTTGCTTCAATGGCAATGGGTCTTAAGTCTGTATGTTCTTACTTTTCCTTCTTCTGGTGCATACTTGACATTTTCTGCCTATGCATATAGTTTTGTATCAAGCCTAAATCTTAAGACTAAAAGGGGAATTGTAGTGAGATATCCACGCCACCTGTACCTGTTGCACTGACCACACCAATTTAGGTGTGGTCACAGGTGCAGATGTGATGGGAGAAGGCTAGGTCTGGGGTCCCAGACCCCAGCTCACTCTCCTGGTTCTGGTCAGGTCATGGAGAGCAGCCTAGGTGTGGATCCTTGGAGCTGGAACTAGCAGGTCATTGGTTTCTATGTGACTTCTCCCCGAATATAATTAACCTATATTTAACCAAGTCCCATGTATCTTAATCTGTGCATCTATAAGCCAGTGCTATGTAAGTTGCCAAAGTGGGAGGGCAATCGATAGTTCTACCTTGCTGAGATGCCTATGAGCCATAACAATGACTAGTCCTGCAAGATACTCCTAAAGGTGCAACAGTAGCAATTGTCTCCTTGTGGTAACCAACCACTCTCTAATTGGACTGAAGGCCTGCTCAACAGGAGGGAAATCATGCCTGGTAATAGAAACAGCCAACTATCTGGGGCCAGTGAGGTCATGGGTCTTAGGGGAGAGCCTACTACTGCCACTTTTCTAGAGCAACCTAATTCCTAACTACACTCTAAGTATTCTTATACTCACAGATAAGTGTAGCTCTCACCCCTCACCAAAGAAGCGTCTTCTTACAGCAGAACGAGTCCATCACAGAAAATAACTGCTCAAAACACTGAGGACAACTAGAGTGTGGTGCTCAGATACAACAGATACATTTCCAACACAACCCCTGCCCCTAAGGCTCAGGAAACTTTGCAGAAGAAGATTGTGAGAGGCACAGGACCAGGAAATCTGTGTGAGGTATAGAAATGACAGGGAAGTTTTACTCACAATATCCCATAAATATGGCTGCCTAAACAAGAGCTGAACAATGACAACACCATATCATAGTGGAAGGGGGGAAATCTCAAGGGGACTCAGGAAAAAACTGTAGGCAACTAATGATTCTGAAAGAGGAAGAATTTGCCTCCCTGAGGCAAATTAACCCTGTTAACTGGTTATCTAATTCAAAGTGGTTAGCCCTGAAAACATGTTCATGAAAGCAACACTAAATGGATGAAGGTGGTTATATTTATAAAGGGGAATGTGAAGGGAGGAAATGGTATAATTATATTGCAAATAAAATAAAAACCAGAAAAAGCATTTACTAAAACAGTTCTTGACTACCAAGCTAGCACAACAGAAGATAATGGAAGAAACTATACACAGAGAAGATAGGTCTCAATCCCAGAAGCACAGGAAATAAACTTCACAAAAGAAAGGCTGAACAAAAGGGACTTAGGAAAGATCCACCAAGCCTAACATGGTAAATCACAACACTAGCAGGAATGTAAAGAACATACAATACAACCACCCAGAAAAACTAGTAACAAGATGATAGGAATTCTTATTCTGTCGATAACAACTTTAAATATAAATAGCTTCAATTCACCAATAAAGACATAGAGCTGGGTTGACTGGATTAAGAAAAACTGACTCAATGTTCTGTTAGTGTCAAAAACTTGTCTCATTGGAAAGACACCTATAGGCTGAGAGTCAAAGGATGGAAAGCTATTAAGTGAATAGAAACCAAAACCAAGTTGTATAACTATTGTACCAAATGAGAAAGTAGACTTCAAATTAAAAGAAATATAGAAAGTATATATCAGTAAGGAAATTATTCATATATATATAAGACAATTATAATTATAAAAATAATGATATATTTTAAAGACTCCAATACTTTACTAGCAGCCTTTTAGATCTGATAAACACTCAGAAAAGTAGCATAATAAAAAAAAACAAAATGAAATAAGTAGTTTTTCTGGATAGTAATAATGAACTTGCTTAAACAGAAATAACTAATCAAGGACATGATAGAGCTCTACAATGAAAATTTTAAGATGCTGGAAGATGGAAAGAACTCCCATGTGCATAGATGGTCAGATTAACAGTAAAAAAATTAGCAAGATCACTAGAAGCAATCTACAAATTTACAGGAATACCCATTAAAATCTCAATGATAGTCTTCACAGAACTAGGGAAAAACGTAGGATACACAAAAGGCCTTGGATATTTAAATCAATTATTAGAAAGAGCAATGCCAGAGACAATGTAACACCCTAAATCAAATTATACAGAACCACACTAACAAAACAGCATGGCACTGGCTAGAAAGGTAGACATTAAGACCAATGAAATAGAACAGGGGACTTTAGAAATAAACCCACACAGTAATTGCAATCTAACTTTTAAAAAAGTGAAATAGTCTTTTAAATAAAGGAGTTATTTTTATTTCCTTTTGTGTGTAGTGCAGTGCTTGCTGAGGCCAGGAGAGGGCAATCAGATCCCCTTGAGGGGGGACATACAGGTAGTTATGAACTGCTTTATGCAGGTGCTAAGAACAGAACTCAAGACCTCTGGAAGAGCAGCAATGTTCTTACCCACTGAGCCATCTCTCTACTGCCCCAGCGCCCAAAAATAAACACTGGAGAAAAGGCAGTGTCTTTAATAAATGGTGCTAGGAAAACTGGGTATCCATATGTAGAAGAATGAAGCTAGACTCTTCTCACATCTCGTGTGGAAGTAAATTAAAAATAGGTCAAAGACCATAATGTAAAACCTGGAACTTTGAAATTCTGAGAAAGAAAACAAGATACAGATATGAGAAAGGATTTTTCTGAATAGGGCTTCAATAGTTCAGGCAGTAATCCTCCAAACTGACAAAAGGATTTGGGTAAAACTAAGATTTTTTCCTGCCAGAAACATCACTGGGTGAAAGTGCAATCTATGCAATGCAAAAGAAAGCCTGCCTACTGTGTGTCAGAAGAGGGATTCATACTCAAGGTCCACAGGGAACTGTAAACACTAAACACTACAATTATCTAATCAACAAATGGGCCAATAAATATTTGAAAAAGTGTTCACTGCCCATAGCTGTCAGGGAAGTAGTAATTTAAACCGCTATTAGCAAGAAAATAAATGACAACAAATGGAGAACAATGAAGGAGGAACGCTTATTCACAGATGGAGGGAACATACCTTGGGTAGTTACTATGGAAATCTCTATTAAGGGTCCTCAAAAATTGTCATGTGACTAAGTCAACACATACAGGGACTGCATGGCTATGTTTATAGTTGCACCATTCATGATAACCAGGGAATGGAACCAGATGAATGGATGAAGAAAATGTGGTATGTATCCATAGGTCTTTGCATATGTGTATTCTTAGGTCACAGGACAAGAAAGGGATCATGGGGGAGTTAGTATTCTAAAGGGGATGGGGCATAGGACAATACCATACATGTACTACGAAAGAAGTGGGGAATAACTGAGAGAACAAAGGGGACCAACTGGAAGGTGGAAGAGGACATTGGGATGGAGTGGGTGTGTGTGTGAATGAGTGAGAACAATGTATAATGGGAGTGTATGAAGAGATCATGATGAAACATATTGTGGATTCAAACTGAAAAAATCATGAAAGTTAGTTCAAGAGCTGGAAACCTAATGGGAAGGTGACCTCACGAGGTTTACCACATACCTTCCTGATGGTCTTATACCTCAGAAGTGTAAACAGAAGACCTGCTTAAACAGTCCTCTTCTTTAGAACATGGTCTCAGTATGGAGGCCTGGCTGACCTGAAATACACTGTGTAGACCAGGCTGGCCTCAAAGGTCTGTCTGCCTTGGCTTCTCTAGTGCTGGGACTAAATGCATGGGCCACTACACCAGGCTTTACTTTTAACAACTCTTTTCTGTCCAAGATCTTCCTACTAGGAGTGTGCTGTGTTCCCATTGTCATTGCAATTGTAAATGAGTTGATGTTTGGGCCTAGCCCCAGGGAAATCAGAAGTTTCAGACCTGAGGCATAGATGGCGGAGGTTGGGAGGGGCCTTACAAGAATTCACTCAGCAGATTTGTACCAGACTAGCACTCTCACTAGTTTATGAGTTAATTTTTTGAGATATGGTTTTGATAACAGCTTTGAGCTCTCAATCCTCCATCAGACATCTGAGTACTGGAATTATGCAACCATATCTGATAGGGTTCTTGTTATTTTGAAGAGGCCATTTAATCATTATTAATAATACATTAATACTATCATAGCTCTAACACTAACTACAATCTGTTCTTTAACTCTTGTATATATTACATTTGAGATACACATTTAACAGACTGGCATCTATACATTAGATGTACAGTATCCATTACTATGAGTCTTAATCACTTATGAGGATTGGTCACTAAATGAATGCTATTAATACATATGTCAATACTATTGCAATGATAGGTATATCTCCAAGACACTCAGCTCCACTTTACCCTAGATGAAAACTAGCAACAAGTGCCTGAAGTTCCAAAGTTCTTTCTCTTTAGTTATTCTGGGCCTTTCCTGGTCCTATCTTTGGGTTCCATAGTAAGATTCATAGAGACATCAATGGCCAACATTGCAGAAAGTATGCGTTGCTTAGCCATTACTGGAAGCCATTGCTGTCCCAATATGGACAAAACATCTCCTGAGGGCAGGGAAATACCTTCCCTGATTCAGTCCCCATGCTATGCCCAGGACTAGCGCATTGCATAGCACATAGCAGACATTTAGTAGTTATGTGACTAGATGATGTGTATCTTTGTTTTGTCCTGACAACTCATCTCGAAAATTTAACATCACAGAGTATACCCTTCTCCCAGAGGCTGCTTTCCTCTTCTCCTTTCTAGCTACAGTCTTTGCAGCTCTCAGGGAGCACACTGAGCCCTGTGACAATGTGGCTCAGATCGGGTGCCTGCTCCTCCTCCCTTGATGCTCCAGTACAGTAATTAATTCATTGTTCAAATTTCAGAGCAGGCAGGGTTTTAATCCCTCTGGAATTGGTTTCGGATGTGGAAGTCATAGTTCTCCACCCTCTAATTGCAGCTGGGAGATAATACCGCATCAGTATTGCAGTTTTGAGCTTGGCAACAGGCTAGAAATAAATATCACTTGAGCTTTGAGAGCGTGGCTGGCTGGAGACGTTTCCTTTCTGTTTCACAAATTTAATGCAGATAAGACACTGTGCTGATTCAAAAGAATGATTCCTTGGATGCAAAAGAAAAAAATGGAACAGAGTGTTTTGAATTCTAAGTAAACTGTCTTTCATGTTCAGAGTGAATTTCAAGTCAATCAGAGTGACTTGCTTGCATAGACAGTGCTGAGACAATATCCCTATCCTGTTGGTTGAATTTATACTATTTTTGTGGTGCTGTTATTTTACATATGTGTATACAGTGAACTTTGGACAGAGAAGTTCATTCCTGAACAAGGATGACTATGTCAGAGCCTAAAATAATGGAGTAAGAGGAAAATGATATAATTTTGTAGGCTACTATGTTTGGTCTTCCATCACCCTGGTGTTAACCATCCATTTTCACCTATGCAAAAAGGAATCAAACTCTATTTGGATAAAAGATCCTTGAATTAGATGATGGAAACTCAATCCCTTGTTTCATCCCTTAGTCCAGCAATGCTTTAATATCTCACTGCTATACTCACTGTTGTTTTTGTACTTTTAAAACAAGACCCATTGGTAGCTTTAATAGCTCTGCTAGTGTGTACTTGCTTTGGGGCCTTATCAGGAGAGAAACCAACTGTTATTTAGGATACACAGCACTATTATCACAGGGCACAGACCCATAAGTCTGTGTGAACCAATTAACCACAGACTGAAATGTCCAGAAGAATAAGCCCAAACAAACCTTTCTGCATTATAGGTTGATTATTCTAGGTATTCTGCCACATTGATGAAGAGCTGACCAGCACAGAGCACATGAGAGAAAGAAACTATTATCACTTGCATTTTGTAGATAGAGAAACATATGTTTGGAGACAATTACTAAATATGAAAATCTGGCTTGGGCCTTAATCTGACCCGGGGATCCACATTCATTAGCAGTCATGCTGTCCCTATGTGCCAGGTGCTTTCTACACAGCATAGGCAATTCTCACAGCAAGAAATATCCCCTTTCCTGTTTTAAAATCATAGCAGAAACTATGTTGAACAGTGTTGCCCAAAGTTACACAGGTAGTGAGATCCTAAATCCAGATTGTGGGACTAACTCCCTTGTGCTGAAATGCTTGCTCCACTATTCATTCATTCATTCATTCATTCATTCATTCATTTATTTATTTATCTATTTATTTATTTATTTATTGTTTTTTTCGAGACAGGGTTTCTCTGTGTAGCTTTGGAGCCTATCCTGGCA